ATGAAAGGAGCAAGAGCTAAAGGCACGTGCAGGAGGGGTGGGGGCACACTGCGGGGGCAAGGACGTCGGGAGGCCATGGTGCACAGGTCTCGAGTCCTTGAGAGTGTCTCATGCCACGCTGAGGTTTGGGGGAATTGTTGGGCATCGTGCAGGTGACCTCTGGCCTTGGCAAGGGCCACTTGTGCAGAGAGGAGCCAGCTGGGTGTTGAGCACAGAGGCAAGGACACCGGGACAGTGGGGATGTGTCCCTTTCATTGTGTTCTGAAGGGGAGCAAAGAAATGGGGTGCAAGCTAGAGGGTGGCTTGAGGTCAAGGGAGCTTGTTGGAGAGGGAGATTCTAGAACAAGGTCCTTTTGTCATTAGATGATCCTGCAGAGGTAGAGGGAAGAAACTGAAAAGGCAGGAGAGAGGAGAGCCTTGTGAACGCTGGTCCTTGAGAGGGCTGAGGTGGATTCTGGGGCACAGGCGAGAGGCTGGCACCCCTCACCCCCTTTACCCTGTGTTCCCTCTGCTCTGTAATAGACCTTCTTGGGACGTGTGAGGCTAAGGGATATGAAGGACCGCTGCATGGGTCATGGGTAGCTGTGTCTATTATTATTTTTAAGAAATTATGGATCTGGTACTGCAGGGATGCTGGGACCCCCCCAGCCCTGTTCTACTAATTGTCCTTCCTCCCCATGTGTTCCAAGGGAGCCACATAGAATAGCAGAATGGGGACCTGAGACCCTGTTGACAATTTTGTATGTGGCTCGCAGTGATGGTCAGACTGGGACTCTTCTCTCCATTGTTACCTGCTTGCCTACTATGGCCAGGCCTCCCTTGTGAGCCTGACTCACTTTACCAGCACTGCTGCCCTGAATGGGATGAATTTAAAGAGAATGTTTGGTTTACCTCAAGGGTTCAGGCTTAGAGGGTTTAGAGCAAGAAAGCCACTGGGAAGGTAGAACAAGGGTCTTAGTCCTAACGAATGACCTGGGCCTGGACCAGCCAGGTGAGGGTGGCTCCTGTGGGGGGCAGGACCAGGGCAGGGGGCCAGGGTGGGCCCCGCTGGGCCTGCTGTGGAACAGACATTTCCTGTCCCACTGCTGGGCTGCTACAAAGCCTTTAGGAGTCATGCAGGAATAAGTAATTCCTATTGTTTGTCCGTTGTGGTTTATTGCCTTTCTGAGCTGAGCAAAGCCTGCCTTGGCCCAAGTTCTGTAGGCTTGTGTGTGCGGACTGTTCCTACCTTCAGAAGTATCCCTGAAGACGTGAGGCCTCTTCTGTGCCCTGTTTACTCATTGCTCACTCAGGCTGTCCTCACAGGCCCAGTGTCTCTGTTGACTTCCATAAACCTGATGCGCACAGTGCAGGGCCCCTGGCCGTCTGCCAGTGGGGAGGTGGGGCTGGTGGCCTTGGGCAACTTGTGGCTACAAGTTAAAACATGTATCGATTGACTTGTCCCTGCTGAGTTCTTCCCTCTGCTCTTTCTGTCTATAAATCCTGTGGAAAAGAAGGTTTTACCAACACCTGGGTGGACTATCAAGGATGGCATGAGATGCTAAAAACAGAGGTGGAGAGGTATATACAAAACAACCCAGGATCTAAAACATTGATTTAAAAAAAAAAATAGCATACATGATTGTGTCTGTGTGTGTACGTAGGAAGGATATATACTAGATTTAGTGTTATTTGGGGGCAGTAAATTGTTGATGATTTAAACTTCCATATTTACACCTTTTTTGTGTTTTCTAAATTGTATTTCTTATGAACACATTACTTTTATATTAAAAAACAATCGAGTGATTTTTATTTTGGAAAGGATGGTCCCTTGGGAGTAGAATAGGTGGATCGTGGCAGGTCATTTGGTTGCATTCGACACAGCAGTAAAATGAGATGGTCCCACAGCGTGGCTGAATGTGAGAAACCTAATGTTGGCCGAAGAGACCAGACAGGAATAGATGGGAGTATGACTTACTGATCTAACCTGCAAAGAAAGCAGACACTATTGTTTAGGACTGCTCTCATAGTTGGTAACACTAAGGAAGGAATGAAACAGCAGCTGAGGAGTGGTTCTTCCCAGAGTGCGGACTGTGGTCCCCTGTGGTAAGGAGTAGGGGCTGTTATTAGACAGGGGCTCAGAGAGTTTAGGAAGCTGGTAGTCTTCTGCTTCTTCCCCTTATTCCATAAATAATTCATGAATATTTTTTATTGACACACAAATCACGTACCATAAAATTCACCCCTTCAAAATGTATAATTCAGGAGAACAGAAAATACATGTTCAGACAGAGACTTGCGTACATATGTTCATAGCAGGGTATTATTTGTAATAGCCAAAAAGTCAGAAAAGTTCAAATGTCCGTCACCGAATGAATTGATAAACAAAATGTGGTCTATTCATACAGTGGACTATTCCACTAGTCTATGAAACTTTGCTCTATACTCTCCTACTTTGTGCTCCTACTGTCATACAAATTGCGTATTTAGTTACTGTGTACCCATATATAGTGATTTGTAATCACCAAGTTATGCAGTTGTCTTTGAATTGGATGAGAGAAAGAAGAGTTATTAACAAAAATGCAGTTACGCTGTTTTTATACTTTCCTGTGTAGTTACCGTCACTCACGCTCTTTCTTTCTTTACATGGATGCAAACTACTATCTGGGTCCTTTCGTTTCAGCCTGAAGGACTTTCTTTGGTGTTTCCTATAGGGCAGGTGTGCTAGTGGCAAGTTCTCTTGGTTTTTGTTCATCTGGGAATCTCTTAATTTGTCCTTCATTTTCGAAGGATACCTTTGCTCCTTACAGAACTCTTGGCTGGCAGTCTTATTCTTTAAGCTCTTTTGAATATGTCATCCTGCTGCCTCTGGCCTCCATGATTTCTGATGAGAAATAAGCTGTTAATCTTGAGGAGCTCTGGTCCGTGAAGAGTGACTTCTCCCTGCTTTTAAGATTCTCTGTCTTTGACTGTTTGATAATGGTGTGTCTTGGTGTGGATCTCTAAATTTATTCTGCTTGGAATTTGTTGAGGTTCTTGAATATGGGAATTTTTCTGATCATATTTGGAAAGGTTTTGCCCATTCTGTCTTCAGATATTCTTGTGTACCCCTTTACTCTCTCATTCCTTTCTGAGACTCCTGTTATGCAAATGCTGGCTTGCTTAATGGTGTCCCACAGACCTCTGAGGGCTTGTTCATTTTTCTTCATCCTGTTCTGTTCTTCAGATAGGATAATCTGTTGATTTATCTTTCAGTTCAGTGGTTCCTTATTCTCCCTGCTCAGGTCAGCTGTTGCAGTCCTCGAGGGAATTTTACACTTTGGCTATTATATTTTACAACTCCAAAATTTCTACTTGGTTCTTTTAAAAGGTTTTTATCTCTTTATTGATATTCTCTGTTTGGTTAGGCTTCATTTTCATACTTTCTTTGGTTCTTCAGGCATGGTTCCTTAAGTTCTTTGAACATATTTAAAATAGCTGATTTAAAGTGTTTGTCTATTAAATCCAGTGTCTGGGCTGCCTCAGGATATTTTTTATTAATTGCTTTCTTCCCTGTGCATAGGTCATAGTATCATGTTTTCTTGCATGTCTCATATTTTTTGTTGAAAACTGGACATTTTAAAATTCTACAACGTGGGGCGCCTGGGTGGCTCAGTTGGTTAAGCGTTCCAGCTCTTGGTTTTGGCTCAAGATCATGGTCCCAGGGTCCTGGGATCGAGCCCCGCATCGGGCTCTCTGCTCAGCGGGGAGCCTGCTTCTCCTTCTCCCTCTACCTGCCGCTCTCCCTGCTTGTTTTTTCTCTCTCTCGCTGTCAAATAAATAAAATCTTTTTAAAAATTTTGTAATGTGACAACTCTGGAAATTAGATTCTCCCCTCTTCTCAAGGTTTCTTGTTATTGCTGCTTGCTGGAGTTGTTGTGTCTTTGGTGACTTTTCTGAGTGACCTCTTTAGTTTGTATTCTGTGTTGTATGCGGCCACTGAAGTCTCTGCTCGTGGTCAGGTAACGCTTGGCTAGAGATCTCCTTGAAGGCCCCGTGTGGAACTGTGTGGAACTGCTGAACATCCCTGTCTGTGCCTGGGGGCTCTGTGTGCGCATTGGGGCACGCCTTCAGCGTAGTCTGGTGGCGGACAGCTCTGCCTCGCCCTCACTTTCTGCTTGTGCAGAGCCTCCAGAGGAGCTGGAGGGTAGAGCTTCGGGCCTTCTCAGCTATTTCGTGAGCAGATGCCCAGCCCAGTATGAGTGGCCTTCTTGATTCCCAGGAATTTTTAGGAACTCTGCAAAATTTGCACATCTCATTCCCCTTTTCCTTTTAGGCTTTTTGGTTAGTGTATTATTTACCCCAGCTATTACCCACTGCCTCCGGCAGCTGTGAAGTGCCTTTAATTGTTTCCAACAAATGTCCCTCAGGGAAAGGCTTTTGTACACTGAGTGAATTAGGAGTCAGGTGAAATACAGATAGTTTGTAAGTGGCAGTTTCCAGTGAACCACCTACTAGGTCAAAGAATGACAAATTTTTTGAAAATGAGCCTTTGAAAGAGCTTGAGCCCATTCTGTTCTCTCTGGGCTCTCTCTTTTAGGCTGCTGCAGAACCAGAGAGCAGGGGGTAGGACTAAGGCACAGTTAAAATATCACAATCACCTATGTTGCTGTTCTTGCTAAAGATTCAGCATTTTTTTCTTGAATAAATACTCTTTGCATTACTGCAAGCCTTTGATTAATTCCCAGAGTTCTGAAAAAGTGGATTCTGACAGTTTTTGCTAGCTTTCTTGTTCTTTTATGGAGAGAATTTTCAGTTCCCTATACCACCAGTTTTGCTAACTCCAATTCCTAAATATTTAGTGCTGTCTTCTATAATGTGTTTTTTTCCCCTCAAATATGTGCATATTAAATAAAAAACTATTTAAATTGGGGTTGCAGGAGACCATGTGGAGGCAGTCACTGTGTGAGGGCTTACATGGCATCAGCCCCAGAGGGGTCAGGAACTCTACTGAACAGCCCCTGTTGCTTTGTGTCTCCCAGGTTAAGGCTGCCAGGGGCTCAGCTCTGCTTACATGGATGGGACGGAGACCCGACAGCGGCGGCCAGAGGAACTGGTTCTGCCACACACACTCAGTCCTGGAAGACTCTCTGCAGCCTCAGAAGATGGACCTCTGAGTGAATCTGAGAGCCAAAGGGCGGTCCCTAAACCACTGGGGACTGAGCTCAGCAGGGAGACTGCCTTGTCCATTGGCCTTCAGGTGGTAGTGCCCTTCATGTTTGCAGGACTGGGACTCTCCGGGGCTGGTGTACTTTTGAACTATTTCCAGGTAAGAGGGAACTAAATGGTAATAGTGCTGTTGGTAGCATTGTTGAATGTCATCCCTGAAGAGTAGGCAGCTGCACATTGAGTCCAGCTTGAGGGAAAAGGGACAAGGCCTTCTCTTTCAAATACCATTTTTCTACAAATTGGGCAAGATTCTTTTAGTTACTGGTGATGGAGACTAAATTTAACCTAGGTTAAACTTAAAAAAGACAATTTATTAACTCATATCATTGAAATATCTAAGGGGTTGGATTTCAGGCATGGCATGATCCAAGTGCTTAAATGATATCATGGTGCTGGCTTTTTCTCTGTCACTCAGCTATGTTTTATTTTCAGGCAGAATTCTGTGCCTAGAGGGGAGGATGGCCCTTGGCAGTTAATCCTTAGTACATGTGTTCTTAGAAAAAAAAGAGACCTCTTTATCAATGTCCACATCAATCTCTAAAAATTGATCCTGATGTCAGGCATCCACTCCTGTTCCAGTCACTGTTCCCTGAAGGAGGACATTCTCTGCTTGGCTAGCTGACTCACGTTGTTAATCGCTCTTTGAAGGGAGGCAGGACCTGTTGATTTGCAGCCCTCCTGGAATGCCACATAGTGAGGAACTGGGAGTTACCCATCAGACAAAAATACTACCGATGAACCATGCCTTTCCTGTTCTTCTACTGGCAGAGCCCTGTTCCTTTCATCAGTGTGACCTTCAGAAGTCCTCCCTGGAAAGGCATAATACCTAAGGATATTCTAAGTCATGACTGGCCAGATCTCTCCTATCAGCAACCAGCAGAGAACAAAGATTGTCTAGAGTGGGGCAGGCTGGGAGAAGCAGGGCTGACACATCTGACAGCTCCCAGCCCGTGCCTCACACAGTGCTCTAGGGGCTCTGCACTGGGGGTGGGGGTGGTGGTGGGCTCTCTGTGCCTGGGAACTTGGGCCCTGCCCCTCACTCATTTGAGTCCCAGTTCTGCCATGTAGCTGTAAGGGTGGTAGTTTAAAATTTTTTTTAAACCAACACTAAAATCAGATTTCATGTAAAAGTCTGAATTTCTGTTTTCTCTTGAAAACCTGGCAACTGTTACAACGTTGGACCCACATTCTCTCAGGGCCACAGTCAATGGTTGCTGCCCTCTCTAGGTGGCCATTATCTCTAGTTTGCCACAGTCCCCACCACTCCCTCTTATTACACCGTCTTCCTTCACTCCATCACCTGCCTGGCCCTGCCCCACTCTGGGGTTCTCAAAGACCCTTCCAACAACCATCTGTCTAGTTTCTCATGACATCACCACACCAGTGAACAGCTCCACTCCGAAGATCCACCTAGACCTCGTCAGGCCCTAGGATGGCTTTCTATTAAACTGGCGTCCCTATCCCGGTTGGATTCAGCCCTAGTCCCCATGTTTGGTCTCTCTCTGACCTCCAGAACCCTCAGCCCTCTCCTTTCTCCCGGTGACCTGGTGGATTCTGGCCCTTCATCCTTCTTTAAGCCATGGTCAGTCAGCACTGCCCTAACCTCCAGAGCACCTCAGTGCCTGGCTTCCATAACCTGGAGATTCCTCCCCACCCCACTCCTACCTCCTGCCCCTGCCTCCTCACTGCCTTCCTTACTTCAGGTCCTCCTTCCTGCAGTCCATTCTCTGTACCAGCAATTTTCAAAACATCTGTTTTATCGAGGTCTCCTACCAGTATGATGTCACTGAGCATGTATCCCACACCCTCAAACACACACACACCTCACACATATATATTTATACGTACATTCATAGACATCAATCCCCTGTATGTACACACATTGGTTTAGAAAGTGTACACACACACATAAGTTTATAAATTACATATGGAGAGGCAGTATAATAGTGAACTGAACTGCTTTAGGGCCCAGACTCTGGAGCTTTTTCTAAGTGGGTTTGAGTCCGACCTTTGTCACTTACACAAGTTGCTCTTTGTTCCCCTATTTTCCCTTCTTTAAATTAGAGTTGACCCCAACAAGGTTGTTAAGAGGACCATGAAGTGCTGGTCACAGTGCTGGGCATTAGAAAGCACCCAGTGAAGGTTAACTGCTGTTGTTCCTGTTGTCACTGATATTCTGTCACGTGCAGTGCTGGGCCAGTTTTCAAACACTTACATAAAATTTCAACTCAAGAGGATAAAGATTAGGCAGAAACATCCATTCTAGAGTTTCTTTCATGTGTTCATTGGACCCACATGAGGGTCATGGCCCAACTGCTGTGTCAGGGGGACCGCCATGATGCAGATCTGAATTTTAAAATCCCTGTTGATTTCTCTATTAACTGTGGAATAAAATCCAGGCTCCACAAACTGGTACCCAAGGGCTCCCCTTGGCTGTATCAATTAGGTTGGTTTCAGCCACAAATATCAGAAAGCACACCTAGAATAGACTAAATAAGAAGGAAATCTGTCATCTCCCAAAATGGAATTTCCAGGATAGGGTAATTCAAGGTTTGGAAAGTGTTATCATCACCAGCCAACGATGCCTCCGAGAAACCAGGACCTTTCCAAGTTCCTGCCAAGTCAGCACCCAAAGTTGGCTTTGTCCTACAGCTACATCACGGTCAGAGGGAGAAGAATGGGTCATGTGTTCTGGCTCCTCCTTCTTTTTTTTTTTTTTTAAAGATTTTATTTATTTATTTGAGAGAGAGAGAGAGAGAGAGAGAGCAAGCCCAAGAGGGGGTAGGGTCAGAGGGAGAAGCAGACTCCCCGCCGAGCAGGGAGCCCGATGCGGGACTCGATCCCGGAACTCCAGGATCATGACCCGAGCCGAAGGCAGTCGCCCAACCAACTAAGCCACCCAGGCGCCCCCCTGGCTCCTCCTTCTTAAGCACAGAGAAGCTTTCCTAGGCACTCCCAACAGAATCCCCCCACTTCTTACTGGCAGATTTGAGGTACATTCCACTTTGAAACCAAAAATTGGCAAAGGGATTGGAATGGCCTCGATTGGTTTGGCCTGCTTGAAGTGAGAAGAGGATCCCCTGCCCTGTGGGGCAGGGGTGGGTTCTTGTGTACAGTTGGGTTCCCTGGGGAAGGCTGGAAAGGGGCAGTGGTGCCACACTGGCTCAGGGCTGCTGAGGCTCCAGTTCTGCAGCTCTGTCCAGTGGTGCTGGCTCTAGTCTCAGCAGCATGGTAGCCTCCAGCCTCACTTAGACTGTCCCCTCCCTGTGCCTGCCTTTCCACCAGCCCCAAGTGAAGAGGCCTCCCATCATCCTTCCTGCCCCATTTCACATAGGCAGTCTTTCATGGAGGTGCTGGCCCCACTGATGTTTCACCTTCACAGATGATGGGATATTTGCCATTTCCTTTTATCTTGGGTGTTGATCTGGTGTGTCTTTGGTTTGAATGTGAACTCCCTGAGAATAGAGGCTACACCTTTTTTATTTTTTAATTTTATTTTCCTGGAAAAGGTAGAATATCCATGTGGTTCAGGGTTCAAAAGGTTCACCAATGCAGGGACCAGGTTCCCCAGTATACACAGAGGCAGCCAGTGGACCCCAGTTGGTTGTTTTCTCCTAAAGATATTTTATGCACGTACAAACAAGTATCTGTATCTGTTCATCTGCTTCTGTATATTTGTCTCTTTTTTCAAGTTTTAGCACATACAGACTGTTGAATGTTTTACTTTTTTCACTTTACAATATAGCTGTACAGTATATTCACTACACAATATGTTCCCTTTACAATATTCTTTATAGGTATATTAAGAGTTTCCTTTTTTTAAATGGTTGTTCAGTGTTCCATTATACAAATATACCAGAATTTATTTAGCCATTTCCTTTCTTATGTGCTTTTAAATTTAATTTAATAGTTTGCTATGGCTGCCATAACAGAGTACCACACCTGGGTGGCTGAAATGTCAGAGACTTCCTTTCTCACAGTTCTGGAGCCTGGAAGTCCAAAATCAAGGTGCCCTCAGTGTCGGTTTCTCTTGAGGCCTCTCTCCTTGGTGTGCAGATGGCCACCTTCTCCCTGGTCATCCGTCTATGCATGTCTGCGTTCAAATTTCCTTTTCTTGTAAGGACACCAGTCATATTGGATTAAGACCTATCCTTATGACCTCATTTTAATTTAATGCCTTTTTAAAGGCCCAATTTGTTGGCACCAGATGCGTCATATTCTGAGGTATGGGGTGGGTGAGGAGGGTTAGAACTTCATTTTAGGGGAGGGGTTATGATTCCACTCATAACAACAACTTAAAATGGTATTACTAACAAAAGCTGCATTGAATCATCTTGACATTTCATACACACCTGAGTAAATGAGTAGGATAAATTGTTGCAAGTAGAAGTGCTGGGTCAAAAGATGCATGCATTTTCAACTTGGGCAGATATCCCCAAATCACTTGCCCTGGAGGTGGACCAGAGCAACAAAACTAGAAGCTGATTCTTTGAAAGAATTAATAAGATCGATAAACCTCTGGTCAGACTTATCCAGAAGAAAAGGGAAAGGACCCAAATCAATAAAATCATGAAGAAAGGGAAGAGATCATGACGAACACCAAGGAAATAAAAATAATTATTAGAAATTATTACCAGCAACTATGTACCAACAAATTAAGCAACATGGAAGAAATGGATGCCTTCCCAGAAACTTATAAACTACCAGCTGAAGCAGGAAAAAAATAGACAATCTGAACAGACCAATAACCAGCAAGGAAATTGAAACAGTAATCAAAAACCTCCCAAAATACAAGAGTTCAGGGCCAGATGGCTTGCCAGTGGAATTCTACCAAACATTTAAAGGAGAATTAATACCTATTCTTCTGAAGCTGTTTCAAAGAATAGAAATGGAAGGAAAACTTCTAAACTTGTTCTATGAAGCCGGCATTACCCTGATCCCAAAACCAGGCAAAGGCCCCATCAAAAGGAAGAATTACAGACCAATATCCCTGATGAACATGGATGCAAAAATACTCACCAAGATCCTAGCCAATAGGATCCAACAGTACATTAAAAGAATTATTCACCCCTACCAGGTGCGTTTTATTCCTGGAATGCA